AATGCTGCCGAACTTCGGCTGGAACTGTACGGTAGGCATAGGATGTATGCCTCTTGCGGGTGTAGGTTATGCCTACAGTTACCTGGTCCTTGTCTTGATGCTGGTCTTCATACCAATGGCGGCAATCGTGGGCCTCAATGTTAGCGTCTTCTGGTGTCTGTGGAAGCAGGTTAGCGCTATCAGGCGACAAGAAGCCGCAGTGCACGCTCAACACAGAACCAGTAGGAAATCATCAATCACCGTTCTCATCATCACCATTCTGTTTCTAGTAGGGTGGCTGCCATTTTGCATCAAAATCGCCGACGGCATTGCCTGCAAACAGGACTGTGGCATCACAGGCCCGCCCATGCTAGGGTTTGTCATCTTAAATTCCGCGCTTAATCCGATCGTCTACGGCTTTCGGCTGAAAGACATTCGCCGTGGTATTAAGCGTCTCTTCTTCGGCCGCGACGTAAACGCATTGCACCCGAAGAAAAGGACAACTGCATTTGTTTTGACGACGGTTCAAAAATAAAAGCGAATGAATCTGGCCTGCAGATAAAATGTAAATGAATAGGACCATGGACATACAATGCTACAAGCCTACACATGAAACGTTCTACAAATGGCGGCCCATTGACCCAGAGAATTTGACCTCAAAACGACCACCGAGATATGAACGACAAAGATATGACATATTCCAAAATGTTTCGTAAAATATTGGGCGATGTAAGGTAGTTCAACAATATGAACGTTATGAAATATGCATGTAAATTTGTTAGATCATTTTAGAATTGGTAATTCTAGCCAAGCACAGGAACTGTAGGAAAATACAGATCACTTAATTCACCAATCCATTTTTGCACCTTAAGTCACACGTGTATAATACTGAGATGATACTATCGTTGTTAACAGTGTGTTATTGTATGATGATAAAAATGTTGCACAAGAGCTGTATACGGTTTTGAAGCACAACAGAGGAACTATCCATATTCTTGAGTAGCGAAATGTAGCCTTTGGTGCCATTTTGTCATGTCACTGGAGCGCAAAGTTTGTAGTACAATGTCTAGTGATAAGTTTCTCTTGCGAAGATGCAAAAAAACTTTGTGTCATCTGTTTTATGATATCGTAATAGCTGAAGGAGGTCAGAGTCACATTTGATTGATAGTTGTAGATTCAGTAAACAGTGTATTCAATAAGTCATTTGAAATGTAATATAAGTAACGATAGGCAAAAGGGTAAAATACATGAGTTAGAGTACTAGAAAAACGTATTACTCAAAAGACGTCTTAATACATGGACTACGTTTCATCTAAAACGGTGTCAGTTTTCTTCTTTGCACATGTCATTTATTACGATACATGTATATCCAAGATATAACGTAAATAAAATGTGTGTGTGTGTGCATCCGCGTACTTTGCGTGTGTAAAAATAATCATGAATAAATGGAAGAATAAATGAAATTATGCTATACATGCTAGCGTCACAGACGCCGAGTCCATGTGTGTACATGGATGCGGATAAATGTACATAGTATATTACGTAAACCGACACCACAAACTGTTAGCACAAGAGCTTGCTTAAGTTCATACTCAATGTTCACCTTTACCTAACTTCCAAATACCCTGAATTCCTTGGTACAAAATGCCCTATAACATTTTTGCCCAAAAAAGCTTTTTTGTCACCAAAGCCCATCACCCTATAGCACGTCAAAACTTTCTCTTTAAATCCAGTCGTAGATTCTTGAATGAACGATAGGATGTTTTGAAAAGTTTGAAGCATTCAAACAATAGCGCAGAGGCAGGTGTTCATGGATGAAAACGTTAGGGATTATGGGTTTAAGACTATGTCCTAAAAGATCCGGCTGTTTGCAGGTGAAAAACTTTAATTTTGTAATTCTTTGAGTGCACGGGTTTGCTTTCAATTGTTGAAGAAATCCCTATACAAATTCTCTACGTGACTTGGAAAGCAGAGAGATTTGCTGCCGCTTTCAAACGGCACTTTCTGATAATCCAAACTTTCCTGCACCTGTTCTGTACACTGTACGACATCATGCAACGTGTTAATGGCAAGCGGGTACATATACAACATCTCAAATCATGTTGCACGCATTGCTTGGACGGCACTGATACTGTAATTTGGCCAACTTCGGCTGGAACTGTACGGTAGGCATAGGATGTATGCCTCTTGCGGGTGTAGGTTATGCCTACAGTTACCTGGTCCTTGTCTTGATACTGATCTTCATACCAATGGCGGCAATCGTGGGCCTCAATGTTAGCGTCTTCTGGTGTCTGTGGCAGCAGGTTAGCGCTATCAGGCGACAAGAAGCCACAGTGCACGCCCAACACAGAACCAGTAGGAAATCATCAATCACCGTTCTCATCATCACCATTCTGTTTCTAGTAGGGTGGCTGCCATTTTGCATCAAAATCGCCGAAGGCATTGCCTGCAAACAAGACTGTGGCATCACAGGCCCGCCCATGCTAGGTTTTGTCATCTTAAATTCCTCGCTTAATCCAATCGTCTACGGCTTTCGGCTGAAAGACATTCGCCGTGGTATTAAGCGTCTCTTCTTCGGCCGCGCCGTAAACGCATTGCACCCGAAGAAAAGGGCAACTGCATTTGTTTTGACAACGGTTCAAAAATAAAATCGAACAAACCTGGCCTGCAGACAAAATGTAAATGGATAGGACCATGGACATACAATGCTACTAGTCTATATATGAATCGTTCTACAAATGGCGACCCATTGACCCAGAGAATTTGACTTAAAAACGACCACCTAGATATGAAAGACAAAGATAAGACTGATTCAAAATTGTTTTGATACATATCAGGCGACGTAAGGTAGTTTTACAATTTGAACATTATATTAATTATACACGTAAGTTTGTTAGATCATTTTAGGATTGGTCATTCTAGTCAAGCATAGGAACTGTAGCAATATCGATCACTTGATTCACCCATCTAAAAGTCAGACGTGTATAATAGTGAGATCCTACTGTTGTCGTTAAAAATGTGTTAGTGTATGGTAATGAAAATGTTGCCGAGTTGCTATACGGTTTGTAAAGCACGACAGAAAATTCCTTTTAGAGTAGCAAAATGTACCTTTTGGTGCCATTTTGCCATGTCAATGCTACATGGAACGTAAAGTTTGTTAATACAATGTCTAGTGATAAGGTTTTTTGTGTGGATGCACAAGGTTTTGTGCTACCTGTGTTATGATATGGTGATAGCTGAAGGTGGACCGAGTCACATTTAATTGCTAGATGTAGATCCAGCTGCAGTATAGATAATGTATTAAATATGTCCTTTGAAATGTACTATAAGTCAAGATAGTCAAAAGGGTAAAATGCATAAACAAGCGTAGAAAAATGTATTCCTCAATAGACGTCGCAATACATGAACTACGTTTTATCTAAAATGCTGTCTGTTTTTTTGGCACAGGTCATTTATTACGATATATCCAAGAAATGACGTGAATAAATATGTGTGTGTGTGTGTGTGGATGTGTGTGTGCCAGCGCGTACTTTGCGATTGTACAAATGATCATGAATAAATAGAAGAATGAATGAAATTATGTTATACATGCTAGCGTCAGAGACGCCGAGTCCATGTGTGTACATACGTAAAACGACACCACACACTGTTAGCACAAGAGCGTACTAAAGTTCATCCTCAATGTTCACCTTTACCTAACTTCCAAATACCCTGAATTCCTTGGTACAAAATGCCCTATAACATTTTTGCCCGAAAAAAAGCTTTTTTGTCACCAAATTCCATCACCCTATAGCACGTCAAAACTTTCTCTTTAAATCCAGTCGTAGATTATTGAATGAACGATAGGATGTTTTGAAAAGTTTGAAGCATTCAAACAATAGCGCAGAGGCAGGTGTTCATGGATGAAAACGTTAGGGATTATGGGTTTAAGACTATGTCCTACAAGATCCGGCTGTTTGCAGGTGAAAAACTTTAATTTTGTAATTCTTTGAGTGCACGGATTTGCTTTCAATTGTTGAAGAAATCCCAAAACAACTTCTCTACGTGACTTGGAAAGCAGAGAGATTTAATGCTGCTTCCGAAGGGCACTTTCTGATAATCCAAACTTTCCTACACCTGTTCTGTACACTGTACGACATCATGCAACGTGTTAATGGCAAGCGGGTACATATACAACGTCTCAAATCATGTTGCGCGCATTGCTTGGACGGCACTGATACTGTAATTTGGTCGATTAACTACCTCAGAGAAGTGTCTGTAAGACAAGTCTTGAAACGAGACGTTTGAAATTTCATCCTCTTGGGAGTGTCGTAGAACAGACGAAGGTTTTCTCAGGAAATACCGAAGATACCGTGCTGTGGCAACTCGACACGTCCGGTACTTCATCGCTCTTGTTCTCCCTGAAGAGGAATGCAGACACCGCCCTGTTCAGTCTGGTGACACCCTGACATTGTCGGTATTTTCTGATTCTTCTTCTGTATTCTCTAATAATGCTGTGCATACGACATTACAACGGGATGGCTTTGTGTATTTTTGTTGTATTGAGTCACTGTCTGGGGAGTACTTTGGCACCTAACATCAACACGAACAGTTCAACAGAAATTAGTAACGGCGACGGTATGGAAATCGACAGTTTTGTCGGTACACCACTACAAGAAGACGTATCTACGAACTGTAGCTTGATTGCAGGCAACGACAGCACCTCGCAGTTACCTAAAAACTCAACTTCTGTTCAACAAAAATGTCTCAGTGAAGACCAACAGAACCAAACCTCGGCAATAAAACCAAATACTGCTCTATCTATTTGGTTGTCATACATCTTATGCGGTCTTGCGATTTGGTCCATCGTGGGGAATTGTCTACCAATCGCGGCAATCGTCAAGCAGGAGACACTGCACAAACGGGTCTACATTCTGATGGCCAACCTGGCAGCAAGTGACATTTGCACTGGTGTAACCTTACTCTCCGTGTACTGTACGGCTTATTCTTATACTGATCTTGTTCTGCCTGATGTACTGGCGCATTTCTACTTCACAACAGTTCTCCTCTCCGCGCTTACCTCCGCTTACAGTCTGCTGACCCTGACGGCTGAGCGCTACTGGTTCATTGTCCATGGCATGACCTACGTCAACAACGTCACTAACGACCGCTGCCTGATAATGAGCGCTGTCGTATGGGTTTGGAGTGGCATTTTCGCAATGCTGCCGTACTTTGGCTGGAACTGTGCGGTAGAATGTATTCCTCTTTCAAGCGCAAGCTATGCCTACAGTTACCTGGTCCTTGTCTTGGTGCTAGTCTTCATACCGATGACTGCAATCGTGGGCCTCAATCTCGGCGTCTTCTGGTGTCTATGGCAGCAGGTTAGCGCCATCAAGCGGCAAGAAGCCGCAGTGCACGCCCAACACAGAACCAGTAGGAAATCATCAATCACCGTTCTCATCATCACCATTCTGTTTCTAGTAGGGTGGCTGCCATTTTGCATCAGAATCGCCGAAGGCATTGCCTGCAAACAAGACTGCGGCATCAAAGGCCCGCCCAGGATAGGGTTTGTCATCGTAAATTCCGCGCTTAATCCAATCATCTACGGCTTCCGACTGAAGGAAATTCGCCGTGGCGTCAAGCGTCTCTTCTTTGGCCGCGCCGTAAACGCATTGCACCCGAAGAAAAGGACAACTGCATTTGTTTTGACGACGGTTCAAAAATAAAAGCAAATGAATCTGGCCTGCAGATAAAATGTAAATGAATAGGACCATGGACATACAATGCTACAAGCCTACACATGAAACGTTCTACAAATCGCGGCCCATTGACCCAGATAATTTGACCTCAAAACGACCACCGAGATATGAACGACAAAGATATGACATATTCCAAAATGTTTCGTAAAATATTGGGTGATGTAAGGTAGTTCAACAATATGAACGTTATGAAATATGCATGTAAATTTGTTATATCATTTTAGAATTGGTAATTCTAGCCAAGCACAGGAACTGTAGGAAAATACAGATCACTTAATTCACCAATCCATTTTTGCACCTTAAGTCACACGTGTATAATACTGAGATGATACCATCGTTGTTAACAGTGTGTTATTGTATGATGATACAAATGTTGCACAAGAGCTGTATACGGTTTTGAAGCACAACAGAGGAACTATCCATATTCTTGAGTAGCTAAATGTAGCCTTTGGTGCCATTTTGTCATGTCACTGGAACGCAAAGTTTGTAGTACAATGTCTAGTGATAAGTTTCTCTTACGAAGATGCAGAAAAACTTTGTGTCATCTGTTTTATGATATCGTAATAGCTGAAGGAGGTCAGAGTCACATTTGATTGATAGTTGTAGATTCAGTAAACAGTGTATTCAATAAGTCATTTGAAATGTAATATAAGTAACGATAGGCAAAAGGGTAAAATACGTGAGTTAGAGTACTAGAAAAACGTATTTACTCAAAAGACGTCTTAATACATGGACTACGTTTCATCTAAAACGGTGTCAGTTTTCTTCTTTGCACATGTCATTTATTACGATACATGTATATCCAAGATATAACGTAAATAAAATGTGTGTGTGTGTGCATCCGCGTACTTTGCGTGTGTAAAAATAATCATGAATAAATGGAAGAATAAATGAAATTATGTTATACATGCTAGCGTCAGAGACGCCGAGTCCATGTGTGTACATGGATGCGGATAAATGTACATAGTATATTACGTAAACCGACACCACAAACTGTTAGTACAAGAGCTTGCTTAAGTTCATACTCAATGTTCACCTTTACCTTACTTCCAAATACCCCGAATTCTACATTATGAAATGCCCTATAACATTTGTCCCGAACAAAAAGCTTTTTGCCACCAAAGCCCATCACCCTAGCACGTCAAATCTTTCTCTTTAAATTCAATGATAGACTCTTGTATGAACGATAGGACGTTCAAAAAAGTTTAAAGCGTCCAAACAATAGCCCGGTAGCAGGTGTTTATGGATGAAAACGTTAGGGATGTGGGTTTAAGTCTACGTCCTACAAGATCCGGCTGTTGGCAGGTGAAAAACTTTAATTTTGTAATTCTTTGAGTGCACGGGTTTGCTTTCAATTGTTGAAGAAATTCCTAAACAAATTCTCTACGTCATTTGGAAAGCAGAGATATTTGCTGCTGCTTCCGAAGGGCACTTTCTGATAATCCAAACTTTCCTGCACCTGTTCGGTAGACTGTACAACATCATGCAACGTGTTAATGGCAAGCGGGTACATATACAACGTCTCAAATCATGTTGCACGCATTGCTTGGACGGCACTGATACTGTAATTTGGCCAATTTACAACCTTAGAAAAGCGTATGTGAGACAAGTCTTTGCAGGAGACGTTTAATATATCCATCCATTTGGGAGAGTCGTAAAAGGTTTTCTCAGGAAATAGTGAAGATAACGTGTTGTGACAACTCGACACATTCGGTACTTCATCGCTCTTGTTCTCGATCCCTGAAGAGGAATACAGACACCGCCCTGTGCAGTCTGGTGACACCCTGACATTGTCGGTATTTTGTCATTCTTCTTCTGTAATCTGTAATAATGTTGTGCGGAGGACTGTACACCCGGATAGCGTTGTGTATTTTTGTTGTATTGAGTCACTGTTTGGGAGGAACTTTGGCACCTAGAATCAGCACGAACAGTTCAAGAGAAATTAGTAACGATGACAGTATGGACATCGACAGTTTTGTCCCCTTAACAGTTCAAGAAGACGTATCTTCGAACTGCAGCTTGATTGCGGGCAACTACAGCACCTCGCAGTTAGCTGAAAACTCAACTTCTGCTCAATTAAAATGTCTCGGTGAAGATCAACAGAATCAAAGCTCGGGAATGAAACCAGACATTTCCATATTTGTATGGTTTTCGTACATCTTATGCGGTCTTGCGATTTGGTCCATCCTGGGTAATTGTCTACCAATCGCGGCAATCGTCAAGCAGGAGACACTGCACAAACCGGTCTACATTCTGATGGCCAACCTGGCAGCAAGTGACATTTGCACTGGTGTAAGCTTACTCTCCATGATCTGTACGGGTTATTCTATGCCTGTTGTGCCCGAGGCACTGGTCCGTTTTTACTTGACACAGTTCTCCTTTCCGCGCTTACTTCCGCTTAC